AAAGTACGGTAACCACAGAGGGTTTTACGCCAAAAAAGTAGTCCCGAGGGTTTTTACCAATAATTTTATAACACAACACACAATTTTTGGTACAATCTGTTTTAACAATTTATTTACTGTGTATTATTATAAATATTCAGCAAAGTCAATTAAAACAATACCAACAATAAACATCATCAATGCTGATCTGGCGTAGGAACATAGTGTTCTCAAGTCACTGACTGAGAAAGGTTGATGTTCTCAGACAGGCTTTATCAGGCAGTTGTCATAGTAATGGCATGATAAATAGTGTGAGTGATGGCCTGTGGGTGATATGGATTTGATTTCAGTAATATAACTCAGTTTTCACTAGTAAGCATTAAATAGATAGAGGTTATTCAAGTTTTTTTTTCTATAAATACAGGATTTATTTTCATCGAGTGGTATGGAAATAATTGTTTCATGAGTGGCGGTAGCCACGAGTGAAATATGAAAGTTTTCATACCACAAGATGCAAATAAATCCTGTAATTGATTGAAAAAAACTGAATTTTCTGTTTATTAAATACATTTTTCTTTTTGATATTACAATTTGAAAGATTTACTCTTAAATTTTGTTTATTGGCTGAATTTAGAAAAAAGTAGTCCGGCAATACACCAGTGAAAATACAGAAAATATGTATCACTGTTAGTGAAAAATAAACGTTTTACAGTGAAAATTCGGAAAATGAAAATACTCAGTTTATTGCATTAATATTTCATTTCATTTATAAGAACATAATAAATACAGCATATTTGTTAATTTCGAGCGAATATGCTATATATATCCCAATAAAATTGCAATGTTTATTCACGTCCATATTCACGAAAAACTAACTATACAGCCAATGACGCGCAGAAACAGACTTGCGTTCAAAGAAAACGTCAGACGTTCACTTGCTGCGTGGACGCTTCGTAAAGAAATGTTATTTTAAAATAGTCACAATCGCGGCGTTATTTTTAACTTTTATTAAACAAAGAAATAATGACATTTGAATCGAGAAATGTGCCACTTAGAACACAACACTACAATCACTTATAATGGAAATTTGCGAAAATTAAATTGTCCGCCAAATCAAGTTCAGCAATCTCCAACGCAATGATTTCCCCTTATCAGTACAATCTAGTCCCAGTGTGAGTGAGATACTGTGCATGATATGGATTTTATTTTACTGATAATATGAGGTTATTATACGTTGTGTTAAATATTGAATTCTAGCGCCTCGTCAAATATTATTGCAATAAAACAAGAGTATTTTCAATGACATCTTCATTTCACACCATCAATGTTTTGACATAACTTTGTTTATTTACGTACAATATGGATTTGATATGTATTGTTTGGACTTGCAAAATAAAAATGAGGCTATCTTGCGTTCAATATGCATTTGATACAGACTCTTTGGACTGTAAAAACGAAAAAGAGGCTTGATTGAGTACGATATGCATTTGACATGGATTTTCTTTTACTCTTATAATGAAAATGAGGCTAAATTGACAAGATGGAATCCAATTATATTCGTTATCGTAGACTTACGATGCTGCTATGGGGTCAATTTTTTTACCGTAACTTTACGAGATGTTTAAGATGCATCGTAAATTACGAACTTTCCGAGACAACCAGAAAAAATGCAACGATGACCTTACGTCAGTGTTACGAACGTCGTAAGGGATACGAGGCTTTCGAGACATCCACACCTGCACCGTAGATCTGCCATCACTGTGTAATTAATTTTGTTATGTTCGCACGATGTCACTAGTCTAGCTAATAGTACAAATACAACATGGCAAAATCGATATGCGATGACGCATAATAATATATCTAAAATGTATGTTACGCATTTATACATGTACTCGAAACAACCTTCCAGCTTTAATTGTTTTCACTGAGAGTTTTCGATTGATTATTAAGTTTGAAATGAAAACAACAACAGCTGTTGCTGACGGTAAGAAGAGCTGACACATAGACAATCTTGATGTATTAGCATTTTAACTCTACCATCATTTGTCATGAATTTATGTAGGCTGTTCAATTAGAAATACGTATGTTTTTAGAAATGTGTAATAAAATCACAGTCCATGTATATTTAAACCATTGTCCAAAATACTCACACAGGGTTGATTTAGCTTGATGACTGACTGTGTGTATAAACCTAAGATATTTTGTAAACAAAAGACGTTTTCGCGGATTTATCCAAAGCACTATCAACTGTCATTTTGGAAGACACGGCAAATTGTCATCTCGGTCCTTCCCGACAAACTTCGAATACACAGAACGGATACGTATTTCGGTCTTCTCTGCTCTTAAAAACTCAACATGAAAAAGCTGGGAGTTATTGAATAAGTTTATTTAAATATTCCACGTAAAAATCCACATACTTATAGTAATTTTTTTATATAAATATATATGTAAAAGTCTACAGTAAATATTATACCTATTATGGTCATAAGAACAAAAAAATCACTGTACAAAATGTAAACCGGTTGCCATTAGTTCGAATTTCGGTTAATCGTATCCATTGAACGTAGTAAAAATTGATCATGATTGTCAGATATGTTTTCAATCATTATATTACCGAAATAGACTTTATTTCCTTCGGGTGTTAAATACATGTATATTTATTCGTTCTTAACTTTTTTCTTTGAGACCCCAGCTGGGTAACCCGGGTTCGTTATTCATTATACAAAAATAACATCCTCTTCTAAAACCACATAGTAGAGTTGAATTGTGACTTTTCTTGAACAGGCACAATCAAACCGAGCCTGCAACTTTTTCACTGTTTGCCGTTTTGGATGCTCTTAAGTGGTTCTATTTACCTCTATTTCGGACTTTTGAATATACGACTTTTGTTTGAAAGCCCTGGAATGAAATTATGACCTGTGGCTGATGACTTTTAAATTGTGAGTTCTAACTTAGAATATTCATTACTGTTTTAAAAAGGAGCCTTTCCTAAAAATCACAAGTACAAAATTACAAATCTTAAGTAAAAAGTAATGAGTGAAAAGTCACAAGACAGAATGGAAAATTGTCAGAAGATAAAAAGTTACAAAGCATAATGATAGCTATAGCCCCTGTCGTCGTTCAGTTTTTATTTGTTTGGTCTGACCTTATTTGTTTCGGTCGTCAGACCAAACAAATAATGGTAGCGAAATTTCAAACCATGATGTGCTTATTTGCAAAATCCGAAAGTAGTCCAAACTCCTCGAAGCGGTTACTTCCCTTTATAAGTACACTAACGCTGAAAAATTAAGGGGAGATCACTGCGTAAAGATTGTCAAATGACAGGCGTATTAATTTTAAAGCCTTCTCGGGGAAGAAAAAAACAAACCCGATTGGTCGAAGACTTCTAATATTGTGTTATTCATTACGTATGATAATAAGTCATGACCACGAGATAAAATAAAACTAAAAATGTCACCTCTATACTGCCATAGTTTTAATTCAGTTTTAATAAACATAAAAATCATTAGGATTTACGACATTAACAAAATTCTCTTTAATGCATTTACTGTTACAGTGATCACGGTATCGATCGCGTAAAAGATATAAATTGTTTCACGAACCATTTTTTTTTGTTTGTTTTTTGTTTGTTTGTTTTTGTTGTTTTTTTTCTTTTTTTTTCTTTTTTTGAAAAAAATAAACGATTTTTCGTCATTGTATTCGTTTTCGTTAGCGATATCATGTGGTCCAAATATTTAGGAATACAGAAAATTGTGAAAAAGATTTGAAATGAAGTGCAGCTATAGCCGCCACTCACCTTTATGATAAATTTTGAAACTTTCCTTTGTTACAAGTCATTTAAACAGAAAATGAAATGCACTGGGGTAATATTAATTGCATTTTATTACATTCACATCATATTGAAAATGGATTCAATATGGCAACATAATTAGCGGACAGAGTAGGATATTTTTCGAAACATATTTTATTTCTAGGAATACATTCACATCGGTGGCTGGTAAGGGTAGCCGCGAGCAATTTTACCGTAAGTTTATAAAATGTCGCAGGCAACTTTTAAATCCGCGAGATTTTATGTCGAAATTGTATAAAATGTCGCGGCTTATAGCAACTCTCGAGTTTTTCCCAGGAATCTATTGTAACGACTCAGGGCCATCATGGCCCTCTTGTTTGAATGTCCATTTAGCCCAGGAAATGTTTCTATTTTTATTTCTCAAAACCATGTCGTTTTGGTGACCTTTAAGAGTTTCCAAATAGTCATTCATTGGCCGATTACCTTAACCATTTTTGGCTTCTGTTGCTTTCAGGCAATTTGTAATTAGGAAGTCAAAATACCAAATTTTTCTACCTTTGACTTATTAATAATTTCACATTCAGCACTACTTTCTTTAGGTGGCACGCATTCCACATGCTCTAAAAACATTTTTAAACGTCATAAAACTCTTGCTAGAAGGATTTTTTTCTCCTGTTTGACGCATAATGTGTCTTTAACTTTAAAAGGTAAAGTGGTTAAAATAGATTTGACATATGTTACTCATTTCAGGCTTCGAATTAATAAAATCTGTCGCCGATCTTATATTTATCTTTGTATCACAAACAAAGGAGAGACTTTGTGACAAATCAAATGACGTGAAAGCTGAATATGCTTCATTAGAATCGTTGAAAGGCGTGCTGAAATCACGGCGTTACAATCTGTACAACAATACATGTCAATTTTCGCTCATCTTTCTCTTTATTTACGTCTTAAATTTCGCGACCTTTAAGAGTAATTATTTCAGGTTGGTTTTCAAATTTACAAATAAAAAAACACACGTATTGAGTTTACTTCAGAATATTTTTTCTACCGAATTTAAAGCAATATCTAATTTCTAAGGTATATAGGTATAACTCAAGTAGATATTTGATTAACGTGATGCATTCTGGGTGTATATGCAAGCACCCTGTTTTTTAAACTTAAATATAACCGTTATTTAGAATAAACAAACTTGATTACATCAGTCATACATATAATACAGGAAAGAGAATATTTTACTTGTACTATTTTATTAGTCTAATTGCAAATTACGGAATAGATATGCTATATACAAATATATGTATATAAACTGTTTATCCGACACGTTTTAAGATGTAATATTAAAGTCTAATCATCGTCATTCCACAACACAGGGTTTTCAGGTTTTTTCACACACATTTGTTTTTGTAGCATACGTTCGAAATTCCCTTCATGGTTTTTGTTCCCACAGACTGCCAAAGGCCAATAAATAGGATCTGTCATACAAAAGCAAAACTTGTTTCCAAATGATCTTATTTCGCCTGCACGTATTTCATCGTTTCCTTTGAAACATGTAGGTCCTGTAATGAAAAATCGTACTAACTAATTTAATTGTTTTGAATGATATCATTCCGCTACCATTACAGATATATTTAACGGAGCAGCTGAAAACTATTCTGTTGTTTTTTTCTGATTTTTATACGCCCATTTGAGAAAGGGTTGTATTATAGCTTCCCCCCTCCCCCTTGGCGGACTGAAGGGCGGTCGGGTGTCTGGCATCGTCCAATTTTGTCCGGAGCATATCTCCTACACGCATACAGAAATTTTAATGAAACTTAATAGAAATGTTCAAAGCTATGAGATGCTGTATCGCGCGCATGACCCAGGCCTATAGGTCAAGGTCACTCTTAGATGTCATTGGAAAACGCTTTTCCGGAGCTAAACTTCTTCATGCATAAAAGGATTTCAATATAACTACCGTGCAAAATTTAGGTGCCTGCGGCCAAGGTCAAGGTCACACAGGGGTCAAAGTTCAAATGAAAATATGTATTGGACCATTTAGTCGTCATTTATTGATGGTTTGAAACTCAAATTGTCATTTTCATGACTACGGGTGAAAAACATGTAATTTATTTTAATATATGGAAATGTCACAAAAGATGAGAAAATATAGAGATTTAGTCCATAGCATGTCTCCTACATTCTAATGAAACTTCAAAGAAACATTTAGAACTATGCGAAGCAGTGTCATGCGCAAAAACCAGGTCTCTAAGTTAGAGGACAATGTCACACATAGAGGTCATTGAAAAACGCTAGTCTGGAGCAAAACTTCTACATGCATAGAGGGATTTCAATATTACTTGGCACACATGTTCAGCGTTGTAAGGCAAATTTGTCACGTACAAAATTTTGGTCCCTGCACCAAGGTCAAGGGGACACATAGGGGTCAAAGTTCAGATAAAATATGAAAATGTGTGTTTGGACCATTTGAGGGATTGACACATAAATGGTCAGTATCATGACTACGGGTGTGACTATTTAGTGATCTTTTTTTAGGGATTGAATTCAAATGGTCATTTTCTTGACTACGGGTGTGAAACATGCAATTAAGGTTAATATATTGAAGTCAATATCACTAAAGATGAGAAAATATACAGAGATATCTCCTACACTTATAGAGGGATTCTAATGAAACTTCGTAGAAATGTTCACCACTTTGAGAAGCGGTGTCACGTGCATGAACCAGGTGGTCAAGGTCACACTTGAAAATTGCTTGTCGGAGCAAAACTTCTACATTCATAAGGTGATTTTAATGTAACTTGGCACAAATGTTCACTATTGTGAGGTAAAGTATTGCGCCTACAGTCCAGGTCCCTGATACCAAAGTCAAGGACTAATAGAGTTAAAGTTAAGATAAAACAGAAGGTGTGTACAGGGACCAGATAGTCATGATTTATCGATGGATTGTAACATAAATGATAACTATCATGACTGCAAGTGTGACACATGTAATTTGGATTTATATTTCCAAGGTCAAGGTCACTAGAGATGATAAAATATACAGATATTGTCCGGATATTGCCAAGAGCATATTTTCTATATGCATTTCTATACTGCCCACATCTCAGTCAAAGGGGTATTTTGCGATAATGTTGCCCTTGTTTGTCTATAATTAATTTGCAATACTTTCAATATACTTGATATACAGTTTATGCACTTGGAAAGTTCAACATAGGGCTGGTGTTCTTTTACATAATTAGTCTAATATTGAAAGAATTAAATGCAGCAGTCACGTCACTGTAAATCGGGCTTTAAGCAATTGAGGGCGGGGATTAAGGGTTTAGTGATGGATGCAGAGAGAGAGAGAGAGAGAGGGGCGGCAGTGTTACAATGAACAGGTGCATATAATGTTCTTGCAGATAATTTCATATAATTATACCTGTTGGGCATGTCCATTCACAGTTTTCCCCTATCACTGGTCGAACACACTTAAGACGCTCAGAGGGACATGTGGCTCGGTTTTCACAACTAGCTAGGCCCCCGGCACACACACACCCTTCGCATGGGTGTGCAAGGTGATCATCAGTGATATTCCCTGAAATCATAACATGATAATAAACAAGAAAATCTTTAAAAATAATATTCGGCGGAAGTAAAACTGGTTAACAGAAAGTGATGAAAATACTTAAAATTACCCTAAATCGCGTTTTTTCATGTTTAAACATGGCCTGTCATATCAATTTGAAGAACAATTGTTGTTTTGTAGATTTTTTTATTTTTTTCATTAACCGGCCATTACTTCATGAGCATTTTGTGAAAAATGGCTCTTTTCATTGAAAAGTCTCTCCAAATTGCTATAATACTATAAAAACTGCTTCAACACTAATCAAACTTGGCACAAATGTTGACTGGACCATTGCCCTTGCAACAGCATGCTCAGGCTTAAATTTTCTGTTACCATGGCAACGAGGGGACATCTCAAAATTGCCTAAAATCACTATTTTGCGTTGATTTTTTCCATCAAAATTGATTTCAAAGTGCTGCAACTTCTCAATGGATTGAGATAGAGTCAAATGCTTTACAGCATTGGTTACACGTTACCTTATGATCAATCTGGGGTCATTTACAACCTCTCACAAGTCAAAAATTTTCTTGGCGATCAGGGGGACTCAGCCCCCCTTCATACCCCCCAAACAGAAGGGGGCACATCCCCCTTCTGGCAACCCCTTGATGTATCTTTTGGTTGGGGGCCGCGCCGAAAAAGAGGTCACTTTTTTAACAACATTTCGCAAACAAAAACAAATTGTGGGGGCCTAAATAAGGCATTTTTTTTCATCATTTGAGACAACAAAAAAAGGGGGGGGGTGAAAAAGGCGTTAAAAGGCGTGTATATGAAGTATTGGTTAACTAGTAGTTCTGGCTTCCAAAACTTTATAAGCCGCTATTTAACAATTTTGTTTTTCATCTGATGCGGCATTAGTTCACGTCATGTCATAGTATATTTATAAACGGGTACGCTGAAGACCTTAAGCTAGTGAAGGTAGAACGCGACACTTTGCGAACTTTCGAGTAGCGTCTTGAAAATTGACATGCAAAAAGTTGACCATATTTCTGATTAGGTTCCGTTGATTTTATTTCAATAGTTCAGCCAATGGCGTCAAAGTTGACAATTAAAGTCCGTTTTTGAACATGACGTCGTTGCGTATCCTTGGCAACTGTTACAGGTATTTCAACGCCATTGGCGGACAAATATCTTAAATTCTAAAGCATTCGACGAAAATTATTTTTTCCTTTAAGCAGATATAAATTTTATTGTTTTACGCCGACAATTGTTTGAGTAATGGAAAGAAAATTGTCAATTTTGTGTAATATTTGACGTTCAGTTTAGCCGCAATTTTCGGCTTTAAAGCGGCTTATTAAAAAATTCCTGAAATAAATTTTTGATTTTTTTTACTTTAAACGTCCTTTAAAATGTATACTTAGTCAAAAAAACTAAAAAAATTAGGGGGTCACCGACTCAATTTTTTCGGTACACGTGATTTTATTTCCCCTTTTGTAACGAAATTCGACGTATGCAGATACGTTTGAGACTTCAAAGTGCGGCAATAATGTTCAGCTTATCAGGAGAATTGTTCTAGAGTTTTATTAATACATATAAAACAACATCAATGTTCCATTGCAAATTCTTAAAAATTGTACGAAAAACAAACGACTTTTTGTTTTTGTTTTTTTAGCATGATTTATAACTTCATAAGGAATTGTAAACAGACGCATGTAAAGAAGACGTCAGACGTTCAACGGCGCAAAAAAAAAATAAGCTCTCGTTTTGCTTATCGCTCTCGTTTTGCTTATCATTTTAGAATATCATAATGTTAAAAATAACGATTAATGCGGTGTTCCTTTTTGATATTGTAGTAGAATATGATTAATAAACTTGAATCGAGAAATATTTTTACCTGTCTATCTATAATACATGTATACGGAATTCCGTACCCTTTATTGTATCCATATATTTTCCGCAGTGGCCATGATAGCGTAAAATGCCATAAAAAGGGGGATTTTGACACAGGGCGATCGTTTTAATAACATTAAAAAACCCCAAACGCCCCGTGATAGCGTGATATTTATCCAAAGGGGTGGGGGAAATAAAATCACGTGTACCGAAAAAATTGAGTCGGTGACCCCCTAATTTTTTTAGGTATTTTGTACGGAAGCGTCCTGGTGCCAACTCATGATGTTCTATAAAAAAATAAACTCCTACGTAGGAGATAAAAAAGCCTAATTTGGAGTTTGTAACTCCTACGTAGTTAAAAAATCCTACGTAGGAGTTTAAAAGTCCTACGTAGGAGTTACAAACTCCTAATTAGGCTTTTTTTTATCTCCTATGTAGGAGTTATAAAGTCCTACGTAGGAGTTAAAAAGTCCTACGTAGGAGTTTAAAAGTCCAACGTAGGACTCATAAACTCCTAATTAGGCTTTTTTATCTCCTACGTAGGAGTTATAAAGTCCTACATAGGAGTTATAAAGTCATACGTAGGACTTTGTAAGTCATACGTAGGAGTTATAAAGTCCTACGTAGGAGTTTTAAAGTCTTACGTAGGAGTTACAAACTCCTAATTAGGCTTTTTTATCTCAAACAATCTGAAAAAAAATCATATTTCAACATCTATAATATTGTAGATGTTGAAATATGATTTTTTTTTTTCAAAACGGCTTATATTAAGTTTTTTTTTATATATATGATCAGTACATGTGCTGGGATTGACAAATATGCATTTTATTTGGATTTTAAAGGCGTTTTGAGCTCCAAACCCCAAGTGTCTGTGATTTTATCAGTATTCGACAAATTCGTAAACAATTAGTTTACATACATGTACAGGATATTGTAAGATAAAATATATCACGAGTGAACACGTTAGAGCTGAAATTCACGAGTGTAATATAATTTGAACAAACAAATTTTCTTTTTATTTCATGCTTTTTTATATAGGTTTTAAGTCATGTTTACTGATTATAGCCGCTTACGACATGCGCTCTCATTCATGCGAGCTTTATTTCACGTGGATTTATTTTCTGATAATTCTATTTTCCCCATTTGATGTTTATGGTTTGATCATCACAGACTTGAAAACAATATTCAGGTATAGCAAAGATGAAAACATAATTAATCGGAATGACTTATAGAAACATGAAGTACGAGTATATAACATACAAGTAACAACGTGCACTATATATAAAACTTGTAGTTTTTGTACTGCATACATACTACGTACACATGTATTTATAATACTAACAATATAGTTAATATTGTTTTTTTGTTGTTTTTTTTTTTTAATTTACTGGATGGAATCTTTCATACAACATATGTTGAGCTTATAATGAACGAACAAAACCCCTCATAGTAGCTCATTTCAAGAAAAAAGAAAGATCTTTAATAGAAAGAATAAGAAAATGTTTACCTTTTACTTTCTATATTGAAAAGTTACTGGGCCATATTTGTTATGAAGGGATATTATAATTGTTTGACGAGTTCTCTCATAATAATAATAATAATAATAATAATAATAATAATAATAATAATAATAATAATTAAAACTAGAAGTTTTTTTTCACATAAGCAATAATGTCTCCCAAAACAAGGCATAATACTGATCACTCTTGTGAATTTTTGGCAAAATCCCGCCAGCAGTTTGACAACATTTCTCTATTTATAGCTTTAAATGCCATATTGTGCAGCAAAGCGGAATGTGCAAACTAGATAATTATGGTACTCCTCACTGTGAAGCCCCCAAGATTCTTTCTTTTTTTAGCTCCGGTGGCCATTTTGTGCAGCGAAGAAAAACGTGCTGGCCATGTACTCATCACTCCTGTGAAGTTCCATTGAAATCCTACTAGCAGTTTGACCTGTGAACGCCAGACAAGATTTTTCTATTTTGACTCTGGTGGCCATTTTGTGCAGTGCCCATCTAAGTACATTTAGGGAGGGTACTGATTACACCTGTGAAGTTTCATTGAAATCCCACTGTTGAAATTTATTTAAAATGACATTAACACTACTTGTTCAATTAGGGTAAGCCTATTATGTACGGTATACTCCCAATGCAAGTTGAGACGCCTGACAGTGGTTAAGGTATTATCACATTGAACTGCGACACCTCGGGAGTTGTTTGAGACACATTTTGCGACATTTCCTGCGAAATATCTCATAAAGTTCTCAAATATGTCGCGAGAATAACGCACGACTATCGAATGAGACCTTTTTGTTATTTGTTTCGCATGTTTGCAAGTGCCATGTTAACAAGGCCATCCCCCGCCGAGTGTGGTTGCTCATTGGACGAGCAGAATAATTCAATTTTAATGAAAACTGTTGGCTGAAGTGATTACAGATTAGAAACCTATGTGAATACTGATGGCTGAAAATAACAAAGGGTAATAACTGAAAAAATAATGCAGGGTAGGTTATCATTCTTGTGTGCTGCACTCCTCTTCAATGAGATCTACCCCCTATGAAGTTTAAATTTAAGGTGATACCTCTAACACTTTTTGAGATAAGCTCCGGACAAAAGTTATGATGAATAACAAAGGGTAGTAACTTAAAAATTATAAAGGATAAAGGGTAGAGTAATCATTCTTGCGCACAGCATTCCTCCTCAATAAGATAAATCCATCTATGAAGTTTCATGTTGACATATCATTATGCTCCAATCAAGAGAACAATTTAGTATGAAAAAGAACAAAGGACAATAACTCAAAAATTATGAATGGTAGAGTTATCTCTCTTGTGCACTGCACACCTCCTGAGTGAGATCTATCCACCTATGAAGTTTCATGTTGATATCTCAAAGGTTTTTTGAGTTATGCTCTGCACAAATTTTGAGTTTGTAAAGTAACAAACGGCAATTACTGAGAAATTATGCAGGGTAGAGTTATCATTCTTGTGCACTGCACTCTTTAATAAGATCTACCCACCTATGAAGTTTCATGTTAATATCTTAATATCTCAAAGACTTGTTTGAGATAACTCAAACAAGTCTTTGAGATATTGAGATATATGCTCCACTCAGGTGAAAAATTAAGTACGAAAAACAACAAAGG